AGTGGGAAGTTTGCGCACTCGCTTGAGTTTCTTAAGCGAGATCTTGACAGAGATGCTGGTTTCCTCTCGTTTAAGACTGGGGATAGAACCTATCGTTGGGGTTCTTGGAATGACGCGGTGTCTTCGGAAATAGGTTTGGTCTTGGACAGCATGATTGAACTGTTTGAGAAGAGCGACGCCGGGCTGACTGAAGGGCCGGAGAATGCTGAGAAGGATGATTGTAGCCTATACAAGTACTTGGTCAAGTATGTCACGGACACGCTCTCCTTCATCGACCCCATCGACAGGATAGGATTCGTGAGACGGGCTCTGAGCCTTGTCTGCAAGCTCAATGATACTCTGACAACTCTGGTCCCAAAATCTGAGCGCGAGATAGGGTACTTGGCAACGATATGCTCGTACAATTCTGTATTTACGTACCAAATTCTTCAGATTTCCGGGCATGATCTTGTTGATGATGCACTTACCCACGAGGCGTTGAACTCGTTGACGCGGGCTGCCCAACAAACTATCACACTTGTCACAGCCCCATTGGGACAGAGCAGTATCCGCAAACTGTTAGCAAACATCGAGTCTCCTGAAAAGCGTGACGCAGGAATTCAGAGCAACCATCTTGTTGCCGAAGCCTATGTTATTGTCCGACACATCCTTCGCGGTACAGATAGACTAAAAGGATGTTTTGAGGAGCTTCTGACGAAAGCCTACTCGAGTCAAGATAATGACTTGGTGAGCCTAACAGATATCAGCCGGCTAGAGCGGGTGTGGCACTGTGTGTTCACCACCTTGCCTTTGGATGAGCTCGATGCTTCTGGCATTGCTCGGATAGGGTCGCGCTTTTGGGAGGCCCATGGGAACTGGGCCATTGTCAAGACACTGCTCCGTCCAGTACTTGATCGCTACGATACTACGTCCATAGCACAGCCAATCTCATACTACAAGTACTGTAGAACTTTGTTCCACAGATGCTTCTACCTCATTAATGGCTGGGGCTGGAGAGACTGCAAGCCAATACTTGACACTCTCTACGATTTCTTCGCGAAGAATACCCTGTATAACCTGAAGCATGAGGAAGGTTACAGGTCCCCTGCTTTTCTCGACGAACTCGACCAGAGACCTTCCCTAGAAGTGCAGCCAGATGACCCGTGTTTTCACATTCTGCTGAAGATCATTGCGAGTGGCCTGCGTTACCTGGCTAGGATCTATGACCAGAAGAAAGTTCGCAACTTTGCATGGCGCCTGCTGCCAAATCATGGCCGCGTTTATCCCAGAGAGAAGCCAGTACGTCAGGAGGACCTGGATGCATTGAGGAACCACCATGATCTCCTGTGTACATTGTATTACGCTGTTCCTGACGGGTGCCGGCCTCGCCTTCAGACAATCAGGGACCTTGTTCACCCAGCCAGCTCCCATCGTGAGACATGCAACATCAGTATTCGCTCCTGGGCTAGGCTAGTCCGCTTCAAACTCTCGACAGATGAAGCTGTTACTGGTCTTGAACCTTTTTCTGACTGGCACAGTTATTTTGTTTCCGAACTGTTGAAGCAGCATGCGCTCGCGCGTCACGAGGTTGAATCACAGAAAACTGCGGGCAGCAAGTTCTCCGATCAGTTAGTTGAGAGAACGATTGCACAGAACCAACGGCAGATCGAGTCCTTGCTGAAGACCGCGCTCAGCGGCCTGAATACTGCCATCCGCTCAGCACCAACATTGCAGCATGCCCATAAGCTTATCTTGGGAGCGCCTATTAAAGCACTCGTTGGTCTCTTCAACGCCCGGATTGCTCGTGTCAATACCACTGTCTCTGAGACGCTCCAAGTGATTGTCACTTACGTTCAGAAATGTGATCCTCCGGCAGCTGAAAAAGCAAGTGCCCCTGTGGCAGTTGATGAAGACAGCCAAGAGTATGGGGACTGGGCGGACATTGCGGCTGCATATGATGAGTCTCCAGTGATAAGTCCAGAAATCGAAATTGTGGGAACTGTCCTTCATCCTGCCGTGTTCCGGCTTATATCGAACTGCTTTGGAGAGGACTACTGTCCTGAAGATGCGATCCTGCTTAATGCTGTGGAGTGTTGGACGTCTATCGCGCAGACTCTGGTCAAACATGGATTACGACACTGGGACAGCTACCTTAGCCCCTACAACGGCGACTCCTGGACATCACTCCGATTAACGATGCAGACGAGAAAGTTCACGCCTCTCTTCCTGGCAAGCATCATTGAGAAAGATTCACGGTTTGCAGCGGATTGCAAAGTCCAAGTGATCGGGATGTGGGTGTCGAGTCTAGTAGAGCGAGTCTCGATGCTGAAATACCAACATCGCCTAACAGAAGCTTTGCTCAATCAAGTGGTGACGGATCCGCTTTTGCAGAATCTGCCCTTTGCCAGGGACCGGAAAGAAGGAAGGTACATGATCACTCTGGAGGATCTAAGCCACCGCCGGGTTTCTCTGATATCCAGCGTGCTCTCCAACATGCGTGCGCATTTGCAATTACTGGAGGATGTGGAAGCTCGGGAGCTCTCCACTACTAAGCAAGAGTACCGGGAGATCATTCAAAACATGATGTCCGCTATGAAGGCAAACTATATGGAACTGGGAAACGGTGCAGCCAGCGTCCAGGGCGCTTACGTGGACTTCGTTCATCGGGTTGTCGCATTCCTGCAGCAGCACAGTCGAGACATTTGCCCCATCGACCCATTCTTTACCGATCCTGCGTCGTTCCCTCTACCTTCTGGCGACCCGACGTATATTGTGGCCCGGTTGAAAAGCTACGAGCCGAGACTTTCATCGGAGAAAGTAGCAAAGACGCTCATCATGTTCATCCAGAGCGTTTCTGAGCGAGCGGCGATCGATGGGCAGCAGGACTACCTCGTCAACCAGCTACACGCATCCATGGCAGATACCTATGAGGGTGGCCTGGCCGACAAGCCAACTCTGAGGGCTACCTTGTTGCAGGCAGTATTTCCAGCCTATCTCGAGGCGTCCTTCAGCAACCCAGCATGCTGGATTCTAAGCCGCCCCATCATCCAGACCATCACGCTCGTCTTTCAGGATCTCTTGTTCAACATGGACACCACAGACTCTGCCTGCGTGGCATCCCTCGTGAACATCATCCACTCCGTCTTCCAAGCATCACACACCGCCCTCCTGTCCATAACGAGCAATGCCACCATGCTGAACGACCCTGCCGTAGCAATCAGCGCCGCTGCCTTCATTAAGATGATCACAGCCGCCTTGCCAATCATCGACTATATAGACCGAGCAACCGACATGGATCAAAGAATCCTCGCTCAGATACACGCCTTCCAACACTATGTCACCTTCGCCACAAGCCATCTCAACCAACCCCTCTCAACCACAGACCTATACGATATACCCCAGTCCACCGAAGCCTTCAGCGCAGGAGACTCCCTCTCATCTATCGTCACGAACCCGCCCTTCTTCCCTGATCTGCAACGTTCCGCAGCACGAGAGCTGCACCTCTACCTCAACGAGAGCTGGTCCCGCCATCAAAAGAAATTCTACTTTACCAGACGCGGTGCACATCAGCCCCAGGAAATCAGCATTCAGCCTTCTGTCGCTGCGGAACTCGAGCAGTCTTCGCAGAAGATCCTTGGTCCTGCGGTCCAGGAATTCTTCGATGTGGTGAGAGGACTTGATCTTGGTTTAGAGGGCGACGATGTTGATCGCGCCGAGGAGTCTCTGTTTGTAGCTCAGCATCCGGATCAACTGTCTGAGTCTGCGAATGCGAATACGATATATACTCTCGACCTTGTCGATGTTATTGGATACTGAATGGTTAAGGACATGATGACCTTACTGGCATGATATTGATATTAGCATTGATAGTGATCTTGTACGATACTCCACTTGCTTTAGATGATGAATTATATAATCGAATGATGAATTGATACTATAGACCAATATAGACAGAGATCATTACCATAGGGATACATACTGCTTATGTCAATACCAGACAAAATAGTTAGTAGAATACATACTACTAAATGGAGGTTTACCTCGAAAGATATTATCACGTGTATACCTGATCGAGGTTCGCTTGTTTGATGCACAGAATCAGATCAATGATCCTAGTGAGATATCTGGATAGTTTGAATTATGGTCCTAGACATGGATATTTTAAGTTATGAAACAGTAGAGAAGATAAAAACAAACTAAACAGATTTGTTCCATACTAACAACCAACAGCTATACCCAATCATATTACCCAAGCAGAACCCATTAGGCAATCTGCCAAGCAAAATATGCAGCATGCAATTTCTTCTCCAAATTAATATGTCAAATCTCAAGGCCGAAAATAACATACACCTCCATTGCATCTTCGTTCGACTCATGACGTTTATGAAATGGACATCAAAAGGTAACTAGTAACTGCCTTCTGGGCTGGTATGCCCCAAATCCATAGTATAAGGTAGTGAACAAACCACGCAGACAAACAGACAAACCAACAAGTAAACAGGTAGTTAGGTAGGTGGAATAGCATATAGTAATGGGATTTCGGAGTGGTCATTTAGAGGGAGAACATAGTCATAGTCATAGTCATAGTCATAGTCATAGTCATCGGGATGAGATATAACAAGAGGGGGGATGCAATGAAAAGCAAAAGCAGAAGCATAAGTTAAGAATATGAATGATGAGTTAGGTAGTTAGGAAACGGTAGCGAAGTGACCAAGTAGGTAGATAGATAAGAGGTAAGTGCCAGTAGACACCAATATGCATGACAAATTAATTATGCACGCCCGTGCATATGTGTGTGTGCGCGTGGGACGCATGCATGCATGTGAGCGTCCATTTGATAAGTCATGAGAAGTTCCCCCCAAACCGGTACCCGAACCCAAAGTTATCAATGATAGCCTGGTTTAGCTCAGCTTAGCTTATTTACAGCAAATCAAGACAAAATCATCAAAGTCATCGTCATAATAGCGAGGCGAGGGTGAATATAGAATAGAAAGTAAGGTAAAGGTAAAGTAGGCTAGCAACTATTGGTTCACACCTCCTTCAGGATTCCCTTCATTCTGCTGACTGCTTGATCCTCTCCGGTGGAATGGATGATGCGGATGGAAGCCTGAGAAGTGGAAGACCTTGCGCACGGCGCTGGCTACACCCGAGCGCCGTTTGGACTCGGGTGACGACGGCGGCTTATCTGCAGGTTCCTCGGGTTTGGGCCGCACTGTCGCGGTGTCTTGGAGCACGATCGAGGAGGGTTTCGGGGGCCATTGGCCGTCCGATTTCCAGCCTTGAACCATAGCCTTGGTAATATCTGCTAGGTTGATTGGCACAGTGGGAGTGAGACCTTGGATGACGACTTTGGAGTAGATGGATGGGTACATCGCTGGGGTGATGGAGGCGCGGATGGGGTTGTCATTGGAGATGAGGGACGAGACGACAGGGATGAAAGGGTCTTCGCTGGTTGATTGCTGATGCGCGGAGTCAGGTTGACTCAACCCGGTATCTGCGGAGGAAGAAGACTCTCCACCCTGGTTCTCGTCCTCCCCTGCGGGGGGAGGCGGGGGTGGTTGTTCTGCTGCCGTGGAGGGTTCTTCGCCGCGAGATGGCGGCCGTGGGAGCGCGCTGTCATTTTCGGCGATGCTGAGAGAAGCTTCAGTTCGCAGGGCGAGATCGTTTTGGGAATTGGCCGACGAAGCGGAGAGGGGAGGGGTGGCCACGGTAGTAGCAGCAGGCACGGACGCATTATGTGGAGGTTGTTGTTCCGAGGATGATGTCGTAGGTGTAGCAGCCTGCTGGGTCCTTGCTTCTCTTGCTCGAATCGCGTCCCTTGAGAGAGCTCCAGACCACGCATCCCGACGCTCTACCCATGTCCGGAGGCCTGCGTTCCATTGCATTTCCTCCTCCATCTGGCGGCGCCGTTTGCGCCTCCGCTCGGAGTCGTCACTGAGCGGGGTTCCGAGCGGGCTGGCGAGCTCGGAGGCATTGTGACCACCAACAGGGCTGATGGCGGGCGAAGGCTGAGGTTCTAGCTCGGAGCCGGAGCTGTCATATTCGCGTTGACGCCAACGTAGGACATCTTGGTCGGGGGTGGGAGGAGATGAGAATGAAGGAACGCCAGGCTCGGAGGAGAGTTCAAAGACCCAATCGTTTCGGACGATCTCGCGAACATAGCGCTTCGCATCTCGGATGGCGGCATCGCGGGCCTCGGTTGCCATCGTGAGGGGATTTGCCAGAGGGGCAGCCAGAGGTTAGAAGAAAGGCGCGGGGTTTTTTTTGGTCGCGTGCGGAGGAGGAAAAGAGGGCCTGCAGAGATTCTGCAGGGTGGGATAGTAGTTAGCCGCCAAGAAGGAAGAATAGAAGCGAGGGACTGAAACTTGAAACGATGGTGGCGGGGGGGAAATAAGAGGAGAAAGAGAAGTTGGCGAAGGAAGAGAAGAAAGAAGGTTGGCTGATCCAAGGAGAGCTGCCGCCTCGTCGATGTCATTCAAGTTACTGTTGCATCTTCCTCTTTGGATTTTTTAGTCTTTCTTCCCCGCAAAATTCACACTGCTACCGCAACCGATTCAATCCATTCATTCCAATCATCCCAATTCATGGATCGTCTCCTGTTGTATTGAGAGTTGATATTATCTATCAGTTACAATTTCAATTGGAATCATGTCCTGCTGCGGTATTGTATCGATACATTGTGGTTCGTGTCGCTAATCAGTTCGTAGTATACAAGCCCAGTTCCTGCCCTTGCGTGCCATTCCAATCCCAGCCCAAATTCAGACCTACACAAACGCGAAAAATATCAAGTTGATCTATGTGACATGAAAAACATCCAAGCAATCCATTTCTATTGGAACCCCCAATTGCTTAACGCTGTACAATTGAACCAGTTCAGGTCCGGACGCGCGCCGCATCCACGCTAGTTGCCGACTCGTCCACGCCCGCCGGCATGAAGCCCCAACCAGGCGCCTTCTTGCGCCGGCCCTTGCGGTCGCCGTACTGCTCGTCGAACTTGCGAATTGCAGAGAGTGATGACATGTCCTCGCTGATCGATGCGCTAATCTCCTCCATACCACGCTCGAAGTGCTTCCAGGTCAAGGTGCGTCGCGCGGGATACTGGTACGGTTCTTCGCCTTGATGCTGCGCTGCCAGGTCGTTCTCTTCCCGGACACAAGCCAAAGCGGCCGCAACGGAAAGGTTCTTGAGGTCGGATCCGGAATAAAGAGGCGTGCGACGAGCCAGCTCGGCCAAATCAACCGAGCTGTCCAGGGTTTCCTCCTTCAGATGAATCTTCAAGATGGCCAGGCGATCCTGTTCGGTCGGAAGATCCACCAATAGTCGCCGGGGGAGACGCCGGAGAACCGCATCGTCGAGATCAAATGGTCGGTTCGTGGCAACCATGATAAAAGCGGACATGTCGTTCATCCCGTCCCATTCCCGCAGAAATTGGTTGATAAGCTCCCGGTGTGACGTTCGGCTGCTGGCTCCAGTGCGAGAACAGAAGATGGCATCGGCCTCGTCGATGAACACGACGCAGGGGCTCAGCTTCTTAGCCAGCGTGAAGATGGCCTTGACGTTCTTTTCGCCCTCACCAACGTACATGTCGTAGACTTCGGACCCGCTAACTTCCAAGACGGTGGCACCGCTTTCACGAGCGACGGCTTTCGCCAGGAGGGTTTTACCCGTACCTGGAGGCCCGTAGAGCAACAAACCAGGGATCTTGTCAGTCGCCAGGACACCGTAGGTGAACGCTTCGGGTCGGATCAGAGAAAGAGAGGTCAGAGTCTTCAATGCATCAATGGTCTCAGGTGGCACATGAACATCAGAGAATGTAGTGCGAATGCTCTTGGCATCCACGACTCCATTCAATAGTTTCTTCTCGTGTGTGTTGCACGTTTTCCGCAAGGAGCCTAACAAGCGCTCCCGGTCGTTTCCTGTCTCGGTAGCCTTCGGTTTGGGCGTTTTCTCGTGCAGCCAGTCGTTCTTGACACGCTCAGTCTTCTGCATCATCTCAAGTCCCCGCCGAATGTGGTCATAACCGAAAGCTTCATCTGCTCCTAGAGAGCCGAGTGCTAGAGTAGTAGCCCAGTGAACCTGGCTGTACGGCCAGTACCGCTCATCGAGGCCACTTTCCTTCACAAGGGACGCATCCAAAGGCCAGGCGCGATCACGGTAAATGTCGTCCTTGAGCGCCGAAGGGCTATCGGCGAGCCGCGTTCGGAGCAGATCTTGGACGTGGCGAATGTTGATATCGAGAGTGCGCGTCTTGCGGTCTTCCGCAAATACGCGCTCTGCCACCTCGGACTTCATGGCGGGTGTGATGACCAGCATCTGGGAGAATTGATCGTCAAAGGCGTTTTGCATGAGCTTGGCCGCATCGGAATCAGGTGCAGCTTCCTGTGCCGATGTACCGATAAAGAGGACCCGGGAACCAGCCTTTCTCTTCTCCTCTATAGCCTTCTGTAACAGAGTGATGAACTTGGAGCCCTCGCGGGTGGTCTGGATGTCCCCATAATCCTGTACTTGCACGATGACATCTCGCTCCACGGCGGGACTGCGACCTTCTGCCACTTCGTGCGCAGCAGAGTCTTCTCCTTCAGTCGCTGCTGGCAACACCTGCTTCGACGGCTTGCCGGGCGACGAAAGGAGCTCTCGAACAAGTCGAAGTCGCCTGTCTTCTGCGCGATTCACAGCACTCTGTGATGAAGAGCCACCTATCTGGTCCGCTGGCGCGTTGAACGAGGCCACCAACGACTTCAGGCCCATTAGGTTGGGAAGCGCAATATCTCCCGAGTCACGAGTACTCTCAATAGTTATAAATTTAGGACGCAAACCCGACCGGAGACTGCGTGGTGTGTCAATGTCGTCCTCGGCATCCCCATCACCCATGCCGTCGTCTTGCCAGGTATCTGAGAGAGAAGGCCGGTATACCTCGTAACCAAGCGATCTGATGGGCGATGTTGTGCCAATGTCCGCCAGATCCTGTTCGCTGCATAGCTGGGCAATGTCCTGCGCATTGAGTGTAACCAAATCCGCCCCCAGCTCTTGAGCCAGCCTCTTCACCACCGCATCCAAGAACAGAATACCATCGGTACCCGGGTACTGAAGAACAAGATGCGATTTGCGTGCGGAGGGCTCTTGGGCGTACTTGGCTGGCGGTAGCCGCAACCCGGCTCGGGCAGAGGCGCACAGCTCTTCCCACAGCGCTTCCGTCAAAGCATACCGATCCTCCGGAGTATCAGATCCCTCAGGCGCAGGTGGCTCTTCTCCACTACCGCCCCGTCCTAGCTGTTGTGTGGCCTCCTCCTTCTCCGGTTCAATTTCCGTCGGCCGTATCTTCACATGCTGTAGTAATTTGACGTCACCGTCTCCTTTTCCATCATTGACCACCGTGTTTCGCTCGTAGAACCAGTCGGGAACAGTGGCAACCGGAGCAGTCCACTCCTTCGCCGGGCGTCTGTTCCGTAAAGCTCTGCGAACTGCCGAACCGTAGGGTTTCGCGTCTTTCTTGTCCAATCGATCTGCGGAGGGTGTTGCAACGGAAGCATCACGGCTAGCTAATGTGGGTTCTGCATTGTGAGTAGGGAGATCACCGGGGACATTCCCCGTTGTCGAATCCCGAGCATTATGGGGATCTGAGGGAGTGGACGACAGCCATGGCCGCGAAAGATGGAACCGACGCGATTGCGAGACAACGGCGGCGGGATAGCGGCGATGCGCGATGAATCGGCAGGGTCGTGCTACAGACCGAAGGAACCTGCCTTGGTGCATTGACGAATACATCCGGGGCCAACAATGCCGCCGGAACTGAATAGTCGAATTACTGCTGACGCTGCAGGGAACAAACCGTCTGCATCAGCGTGGGTGCAAGTTGGATTCAGGGCAGCAAGACTTTCATCTTGCCTTTCTGGACTGTTCCTTGCGGGTCGGCTCTCCTTTGTCAGCGCGCCGAATTGTAGTATCACGTGATCTACAATGGCTGGTGGCTGCTGCAAGTGCAAAGAGACCCAGTGGATCAGGCAGAGAGGATTTAAGCTTGATTGCAGTGATCTAACCACCTGGGAATGCCAACAAACGTAGGTGTCAACTCGACATGATGATGCATCATCCAGGTCGATGCTGCTTCGCTCAGCTGCACCGTTTCCTTTCAAGAGAACTACTGCGGCTTACGGAAAGTATAATGCAACGAATACCCAATCTACGGTGAACAAGAAAACAAGAAGTGGAATGATCCAGAAATGAATGATTTTATTAGTCCCAGTTTGTCCTATATGTGAATCTGCACGGAATGGCGCCAGCCAGAGCAGATGATCGACACCGAAGCAAAGCCTGATGCAACCGGATTCCTGTACCCCACCACTCATGCTGGTTTGACAAGAGAATCGACGTCAGTGTGAAAATAATTATTAACAGTCCTAAATTGAAAGTCTTGGTAAATGTCAGCCAATACTCCCATGACATAGGATGAATGACAACGAGGCACAAAATTAATGCAGTAATGGTTTTTCTCAGACAAAGTATACTGGCAAGTAGCAGACCAACCGGGAAAGGAAGGTCCGAACTATCTCCTCATGGACGATTCAGAGGATAAAGAAGAAAAGAAGGTTTTGTCATCTTCGAAAAGGGGATGGAGGGGGGAAAGGACAATTGCAAGAAAAGAAATGAGGAATTGAGACTAACCTTGTGACAACTGGAAGTGTTGCAGCACAACCTGATGTGTTAGTGTAGTGGTCTGATGTATCAGTCTCAGTATGCATTTATACTGCGAAAAGCTACTACTGGGCATAGGATTGACGCGTGGCGTATCCAGACCAAAACCAAGAAGATTGTAGATGCACAGTCAAAATGCAATTCTGGGAAAAGTCAGAAAAGCAGCCTGGCAAGAGTTTTCAGCCATGGAGAGGCGAATGCTGAAGAGAAGGAAGAAGAAAAACCAGATCGCGACCGAAAATAATAAAAGCTGCCCACGCGCAAGAATATTATTCCGGTTTCCACGTGATGCCGGCTTACCCGAAAGAGGCATAGCGAGCAAGTCGCGGTGGGTGGCCATCGTCGAGAATGGACCAATCATGAGTGAGAAAAGAAAAGCCTCAGCAGGCCGGAGGAAGGAAGAAGATCTCGCCATGGGTCTGGTCTGTCTGTCTGTCTGTCTGTCTGTTCTGTCTGTCTGTTCTGTCTGTCTGTCTGTCTGTCTGTCTGTCTCTCTCTCGCTCTCTCACTTGGG